GCTTTTTACTTTTAAATGTGCTAAAATATATGTATATAATATATAAAATATGCATAAAATTAAATTTGCTATTTTAAATATTTGAAGTACACATTCTAGTGTACTTAACTTAAAGTTAAGTGTATAGCATTATATAACTGTCACTATCTCCAGAACGTTTTTTGTTTCCTCAAAAACTCTATAACCCAATAAAAATAATAACCTATTATCCCCTCTCCCAGCCCTGATAACTATCGCTCTACTTCCTGTCTCTATAATTTGACTACTCAGAGTATAAATACAGTCACAGCATATTTTTCATTTGGTCAGTTGTTTGACAGCATAATGTCTTTTTTTAAAATTTTGCTTAAAGAAAGAATAAACATAACAGAAAAAGGGTAGAAGTAATACATAATTTCAAAGAAAAAATAAACGGTAAGAAATCACTAGTTGATAATTATATATTGTCCTCTTACAAATAGTTGTTCAGGTTACAAAAGTGAAGCATACAAAGTGGACATTCAAACAGTGAAACTGTAAACAGTTCTGTTCAACTATCCAACAAAAACTTAGTAATATGGTTATCAATCCTATACATTTAAACGTACAGACAGCATAATGTCTTTAAGATTCATCCATGTTGTGTCATCTGCCAGGATTTTCTTCATTTTTTAAAGATGACCAATATTCCATAACATATTATGGTTTAGATCTAAAATGCATCCCCCCTGGCTGGGGATTTAGCTCAGTGGTGTAAGCACCTGCCTGTAAGTGCAAAGTCATGAGTTCGATCCCTGGTACCAAAAAAAAAAAAAAAAAAAAAAAAAAAGAAAGAAAGAAAGACAGGAAGGAAGGAAGGAAGGAAGGAAGAAAGAAAGAAAGAAAGAAAGAAAGAAAGAAAGAAAGAAAGAAAGAAAGAAAGAAAAAAAAAAAAAGAAAGAAAATGCATCCCCAGTAGCTGGGTATGGTAGCAATGTCTGTAATCCCAGCACTTGGGAGGCCGAGGCAGGAGAATTGCTGTGAGTGAAGGACCAGGCTGAAATGCATAGTGACACCCTGCCTCAAAAAGCAAAACAAAAAAACCCAAAAAGAAAAAAGAAAAAGAAAATATACCTCTAAAACTCATGTGCTCAGACGGACTTTTGGAAAATAATTAGATTATGCAGACTGTGACCTTATCAAGTGGATTGATCCATTGACAAGCTTATTGTTCAGTGGTATTAGAGGATGACAGAAACAGGAGGTGGGGCCTCATGGAAGGGAGAAGACCTTGGACATACCACTTGGGTCCGTCTCTGGTCCCCAGCCCCTTCCTCTCTCCCTGCCTCTTGGCTGCCAGGAGGTGAGCAGCTTTTCTTTGCCATGAATTTCTGCCATGATGCTTCCATCTTTCTCTAGGCCTGAGAGCATTGGAGTCAGCTTACTGTGGGCTGAAATCCTTGAGATCATGAGCCAAATTTTTCTTCTTTTAAATTGTTTAAATCAGGTATTGTTTTTTCATAGTGCTGCAAAGCTGACACATATATACTTTGTTCGTGCATTCATCCATCAATGGACACTGAGCTGCTTCTGCCTTTTGGTTGCTGGGAGTAATGGGGCTGCCATAAATATGGGCATACAAAGCCTCCACATGTTCCTGCTTACTGGTGTCTGGGTATATACCCCAAAGTGGAACTGCTGGATCAAATGGTAATTCTATCTCTATTTTTTAAGTTTAAAAAGGCCAAGAAATGAAAGCACAGCAGCTATACCATTCCCATCAGTAGTGTTCAAGGTTTCTATTGCATATTTTACACAAAAAATAATTCTTACAAAAATTCACCTGAGATATATTATGGACCTTCTCTTCAGTGGTAAGACAACAAAGCTTCTAGAAGAAAACATAGGCAAATAGCTCCCTGATCTTTAGAGGTAAGCATAATCTTCAGATACTGTTTTGATTACAGAGATCTGGTGTCTATGGATGGCTTTAGGATGTGATGCAAAACTACAAAGGAAAGAATTCAATCTTCTAGAGTGTTTTAATTACCTGTGCAGTATCTTATATCTTATATAGAAAGAGCGCTTTTAAATAGAAATGCATGCTCCAATTGCTGGAGTCTTCATCACTCCCGAAAGACCATCTCCACACCAATTGTTTTTCTTTTCATTTACCTGCTTGCATCCTAAAACACCTAAGTTGATGATCCTTGTAATATAGTATTAATGTATCCAAAAGACTGTTACTGATACGTGTCTTAATTAGAGCCTTATTATATATGCACATGTGTGTTATCAAAGAACCTGAATTAATATTGTCATAGTGTGTTCTGTTGGCCCAGTACTCACAATGATTTTTGTTGTAACTAAAACATGCTGAAAATCCTTCACACTGAAGAGCTATTTGTCTTGTACATGACAAAAGTAAAGTATTAAGCTGTGCAATTGCACCAGTGATATAGCAGGTTCCATAGCACTGGGTTTCTCCATGTCCGTGCCACCAGGCCACAGAGAAACTGCCCAAGAGAGTCTGCCATTGAGGATCACATCCGAAGGGGTAACGGGATAGTGGACTCTCCAAGACTGTGGCTTGTATTGCGCCTCTTTCAATTTGAACATGTCCAGTCCAGAACATGCAAATTAGAGCATAGAGAGTTCTATTCTCCCCCAGTATCTTATATAAACACCCTTGGCAAGTCCGAAGTCAATTCAGTGGGGCATTAAGGGTCAGAGAAAAGGAAAAGTCTCCTGGAGTGACAGATGCAAACTCAGAAACACATTTGGGAGCCAGCGAGTAATTTGACATGGCTAGAACAGAAAGTACCAGAACAAAACTAGGATAAATTGACCCAGAATCCTATTACTGAAAAAGTTAATTTAAAATGGAAGCACGTATCCTTCCCACGACTACCACTGTAATCTTAAAGGAGCAGGAAATTTGGGTTTTTCTATACTGGTTAATTATAGCAAATAAACCTAATCACTGTCCTTATCTGATGTGGTATTTTGTCTCTGCAAATGGTTTAACGTGATAATTATGCTTCCAGTCAAAACATCTCTGTTTGGCTGTCAGAGCTGATCCAGAGGGAGCCTTGTGTTCCAAGGTGACATGGTAGAACCTCTAACAAGTACATTAAACGTAAAAGTAAGCATCAAAAAAAAAAAAATTGAAAACCAATTGAGATAGTGAATGAATGTAGCTGTCTCTTATCTTATATCCACTGGTAGGAAATTAGGTTAACAAATACTTATTAAACAAGAGAAGAATCTTGTAATGTGTCATATTGTATTTGACATGTATTTTAGCTACTTTTGAGTCTGATGTGATACTCAAAGCTTCCTGATAGGTTTGCTCTATACTTAAAACACTGACAAAATTGGTGTTATCTCCATTTATAAAAATTAGGAAAATTAAGATTATTTGCAGGCTGCTGCTGTGCCTCGCTTTGGTGACACCAACTTCCACATCCCAACCCTTGCCAACATCTGTGCTGCTGTTTTTCATTCTCCTAAGGCATAGCTGCTCATCACTGTCAATCATATACAGTCCAAGTTCTTATGCATGTGCAAGATCTGTTCTCCTGCCCCTCCCACCCACTGGATTTTGTGTTTTTCTCTCATTTATCTCTTTGTTCCTCCAGACAACTGATACTTAAACCACAACTGTTCTACACTTTTTATGGGGCTCCCTCTGCCTACACCCTAGCTTCCCCTATTAATATATTTCCCTGCTTGTAAGTCCAAATCAAATGACATCTCCTTTGTGGAGTTTTCTCTTATTTCTAAATGCCAGTTGCATTTTATTTCATTACAGTTATATATTAATAGACAGTGTAACGGATGTCTCTTTTGAGCCTACAGGTAATGAAGACTTCCCTGACTCCAAATCTCTCCATAAGTGAAACTGCATCATTTACTTGCAGGAAGAAAAGGGGACAGTGTAAAAAGGTAATATAGCATGGCAGCTGGGAAGAAAAGGTGGGAAATGGAGAGGATATAGCTAGCGTGTTTTGTCTCTCAGCCTGGCCCCAGATTAGATGGTGTCTGGACTGTATAAAGAAAGGAGAAATTTGATCAAAGTAAATAGAATTGTTTGCATAAGAGAATATTTACAGAAATAAAGGTAGAAGCCTACAGCAGAGGTGTAATGCAAAGACAAACTGAAGGTAAGGTGCTTTTCCTTGCTTACCACAAAAAATAGGCAGTCTGGCACTCCCAGGGCTTGCAGTATTCAAGCTACAGCAGAGCTTGAGAGTTGAGCAGAGTAGCAGGGAATTGTGGGATATCCTTTTTTGGTGAGCTCAAATGACTTTAAGGAGCTTGGGGAATTCTCCAAAGTATTTGAAAGATACTGTAGATGGCCAAAACTCCATGTAAGCAACCTGTGATGAAGGCCTGAAATACTATTGATTTCACTTCTGTACAAGAGAGACAGGAATTTTGATAACTTGGGTTACATTGACATTCATTTACTATTTGAATGGTTTAAAACTTATCTCCATGTAAGTATCTGACTTGGTCACCATAAAAACCATGTGAGGTAGGTGACTTTTATTACTGGCAGGTTTTCCCATTGCCATAAATTTGAGCATAGTGTCTATTGTGCAGAGTCTAGGAATTATTAGAAGACCTCAACTTGGGCTCTTCTGTTTGTTTGTTTGTTGTTTTGTGGGGGAGGGCTCTTCTATTTATGGCTATGTGATCCTGGATAAATCCCAAACTTTTTGAGTTTTAATTCCTTACTGACAGGACAGAGACAACAATCTCCTTTCCATGGGATCCTATAACACTGAGATGATGAACAGATCATGTGCAATTGTGAGAAATTATCATGGCATTTAATTTTCTATCATTGCATTCATCTTCCACATAAATTACTTATTCCCCTGGGAACAACCATGCCTTGTTTGTCCCTGCATCAACTCGCCTTGCACAAAATAAGTTCTCAATACAATGGTGTGGAATTGTGCAGAGGTGATGAGCTCTAATATGAGCCTGTAAGGAAGGAATCAAACTGTAGAATGGCTTGGACTAGACAGCAATCCTGAGAGCCTGAGATTATTTATTAAATCAAATCAAATTTATAACAGATTAAGATATAATAGGTCAAGTTTTCCAGAAACATAACACATACCCAAGACAGACACAGCAGGGTTGACAAATTTCCTATAAAGGGTCAAAGAGAAACACTTTAGGCTTTGTAGCTCATCTGGGTTCTTTGGAATTCAATCAGCTCTGTCATTTTACCATGAAAGAAGCCACAGAACAAAAGCAAACAGGAACAACTCTATTCTAATAAATCATATATATGAGGATATATAATAACATATATATATATATATATATATATATATATATATATATCCCTCATGGTAAGCTGGACTTGGCCCTTGAGCCATGGTTTGTTAATTCCTTAGATGGAGTCTTGTCCTGTTGCCTAACGGCATTCATATAAAAAAACTGAAAGCAAAACCAGGTGGTGACACAGTACAAAACAGTTAAAATTGATGAGTGAAAGGGAAGTTCTCCATTAGGTTTCAAACACTAAAATGAACAAATGTATAACTGGAGAGAAGCCTCATGTAAAGTGTCTGTTGAACTGGATCACAGCAATGTTCAAAAGTTGAAAAAGGAAGATTTTGGAGTTTTAGTTGTCTGGAAACTCACAATAGTGACAAACAATGCAATGTAGCTTCTAAGAAAATCTAATGTGCTGTCAGTTTCATCCGTGACAGAGAGCATCCAGAACAAATGGGGGGAACCTGTGTCTGAGTCTTTGCGGGGCCCTTGTACCTGCCACAGTGCTTGACAGAGAGGAAGCATTTGCTGGGAAATACTTCCCCAGCTTCACCCTGGTGGGAGCCTTTCATACCTGAGTATGTCTCTGTCCAGTGCTGGGTTCAAAGGTGAGAAGTGTCATTTGAGCCAAGAGCAGAAAGGCCAGGTCAATCAGAGAGAGGGGAAGTGGTGGGGTAGAGGTGCTCAGCATCACCTTCCATTCTGTGATGCTCTGGTTGGGCTCCATTTTCCTTCACTTCAAAATCCTAATTAAAATTAAATGTTCTGTAAAATAGGGGTAAGGGATCATGCTCTTTAAGAAGTCTTCATTTCATCTTTGTAATCAGAAAAAATATGCTCCCCTACGTGAGAGAGAAGTAAATGTGTTGACATGTTTAAGAAAACATTTGGAAGAAAAAAAGAGAAAACATTTGGAGTACTTCAAATGAGGATATAAAGGGAGGTGAATTAAAGAATCGGCAGGTCTATGGAGGGAGTTCTCACAGTCACAAAAAATCTGCTTGCTAAGGAACTCATTTCATTGGGAGAAGACTGTTTCTCTGATAAAATAATTAAAAATAAATTGCTCTCATTGGAAATGCAAATTACCAAATGTTAAAGCAAGCCTGTTGGTCACAAACATGATAAACAGATTTCAAGTTTGTTAGGTGGTATTGATTGGTTTCAAATTCTGGCTACACCTGGGTCTGAAAAGCTTTTGAAATAAAGTTGAGGGGCCCCTCAGCCCTGCAGGGAATTTTCCAGGCTGTGAGTTGGAGAACTTTTAAGAGTTAGATTTTATATGTTATTTGTCTTGAACCCCAGCCTTGCTAGTATAGGAGGGCTAGAGGCCCTGTGACCCCTCCTCCTCCAAATACTACCACAGTCTTTTCCTACTGCTCAGCGCTGTCAGATCACAGAAAATGGGTAGCCAGACCATGGGTCGTTCAGTGGTGGGGAGACGTGAAGCCCTGGCAGACTGACTGATACATTACTGCACAAACACACCCCACCATGAAGAACAGGAGAAACATTTTTCCTTCATGATTTAATAAGTCTTTTAGCACAAAACAATCACCCTCTCATCAGTATATGAAGTGTTTTATCGTTTTGTGAAAGAATTAATACTGATTCTTCTATTCTTAAGCTGTCGAGTGGGCATTTGCAGATGAGATAAAGGAAGATAATTGGATTTCTCTCTGGAAGTAAGTTATATTTTGGTTGTAGAGGAAAATTTGAAGTAAACAAGAGCGTGTTCCCAATTCCTTTTGCCTTGCTGACACTTCTATGTTTCTTATGTAGAGCACAAAGATCACCTAGAACTGGTGTTCCAGGAAAATCAGCAATGAAAGACAGGAGTGAAGGGAGTGAAGGTCCCCACCATGGCTCAGCCCTTAGGAACTCATTTGCTCCTCCATGCTGTGCGAGGGCCTGGGCTGTGCAAGGGCAGTGCTAGGATATTGATGCTACCTACTCCTAAAGGCTATACTAGTCCAATTAATACACAAAGAAACTCTGAACAGTTCCAGGCAGCACCTAAATGCTCACTGAATGTTTGCTGTGAGCCTCGAAGGACATGCCCAAAGCCCCAGACACAGTAAGGGACAGAATCAGAATTCTTTCACACCCCAGCCAGTCCAGTTCAAATCCAGCTCTCAGGATTCAGTGGTGCTCCTCTTCTTCTTCTTCATCTTCTTTTCTGCCTGTGATCCAGCCTTCAGCCCCTTTCATGCCTACCCAGAGGGCCTTTTCTTTCTGTGTGCTCCGGCTCTCCCTTGACAACTTCCTGGCCTTCTGGTACAAGCAGAGGAGGGAAATCAACAGAAGGCCAAACAGTACAATGGGGCAGGCGACTAGGAAATAGAGTAAAAGTGAAGAGGAACAGATCCTGGCAGGAAACGTAGGCTCTGCAACAAAAGAGCAAGAATCACAGAGAATGTCAGTATAGAGCTTCCACGGACTAATCAATCATGTGCACATCTCCAATTATTGTCACAAGCAAATGTATGTAAAAATAATGGGGCCAAATGCATATACTCTTTAAATTGTATGTGTGAGTGCAGGGTGGGGTGAAGAGAGGCCCCCAGGCGCATGCTGCGTGATTCCCACTTGCCCAGCAATTGCCAACCAACAGAGCTTCCAGTGACCTACTTAAAACTACCAGCCAAAATGAAAAACAAAACAAAAAAGGGAAGAAAACTCTCCTTTAATCTTCTTCCTTCAGAAAAGATATCTATAATTCAGCCCTCATTCTCAACTGTGCTGCCTGTCCTGAATTTTTAAGTGAAATATTCCCAAAGCTGCCTGTGAAGCACATACCACTGTACCGTCCTTTTACCCAGCTGCACCTGCCAGCAAGCACTTTTCTCCTCACCCACCGTGGCCCCCAAGCATCCAGCATCCGGGGATCTTCCTTATGTTCCTCAAAGGTCATTCTTCTGCACATAATCTTCCTGGTCCTCTGGGTTCAGCTGGACCACACCTCCTCAGCCGCTATGTCCTACCTCCACTTGGTTACAGTTCTTCTTCTGGTCCCCTCTCACACAACCCCTTTGTTTAGGACTCTTCCATTCTCTTTCATTATCTTCTTTGGTTCATTAGAGTTACTTGAGTATATCTGATAGTGTCATTTGTTTTTGCATTCCCTACAGTGCCTAGGGCATGTACCAATAACTGCTGATCTGAATTAAGTCAGATTGGCTGCAAACACATAGGCCAAAGATACTACATAAAGGCCTGCTAAAGCCTATGATCCTCCGGCAGCTGCAGTTCCCTGGGAAGCACTATCAGCAGACAGACATGCAGAGCATGTACCAACCTCCCTGGTCAGGGAAGCTAAGCAGGATGACTGCAAATATCACAGGTTCCAGGAAACGGTTCCCCGAGCCACTGGCCAAATAACTAGGTCTACAGACGCTGAAGCAGAAAGTCATATGCTTAAAGAGATACCAGCCGTGAAATGTGGTTTCCTAGTAACTTATGTATGACATCATATTTAAAATCAGGACTGTTTTGAAAAAATCTAATGCTAAGTATAGCTGTGCTTTTCTTGGAAAATTGTAATGACATAAGCAGTTTCTTCCTCAAAGGTAAAGCTGTAAGATTTATGAGATTTTAGATTCTCAGAGATGAAAACAGGGTTAGAAGGCATTTTGACCAAACTCTTAGTACCAGAATTCCATGGCTGACATTGCCAATGTGTTTTACATGTTGAAGAGTAGCTCTTTTTAGGGAACCAAGACCGAATCTAAACATTTGCTCAAGTCCTGCATTGAACACTCCTGAAGGGTAGGGTCTGTGGCTCCTGTGACCTTATACAGCACTTCACCCATAGAACCTCAGGGGAACCTAGTGAATGGGTCAATTACATGAGTGCTGACCACAGGAAACTGGGAACATGGCTGACCCATGTCATACAAAGTAAATATCCTCCCTGCAGGCTGATAGCTCACAGTGGGACTGGAAAGACCTGCTAAAGTTTCTGGCTTAGAGTTTGTCTAATCTCCTTTGCATTCTCCATCCTAAATTTGGCTTTTCTTGTTGAAAGGTAAAGCAGTGGCAGAACTAGCTTTTAATTCTTTAAGTCCCCTTTCTGCATTCAACTGGACTCATCATCAAAATGATCTGGCTTGACTACAATTATTCTGCCAGTAATCAACAGAGTGCACTTGAAAGTACAGTTAAAAGGAGGCATAAGCTGCAGCACTGAAAGAGAAAAAAGCAAGTCCAGGTGGTAAGAGGACTGTCCTGGACATTTGTCCACAGTAGCCAATGAACACCTACTATATTTCAGACACAGATGACTCTTTAAATTACTGTTATTGACTTCTCTAATCATTAGTTTCCTTATCAACCAAACAGAAACAATAATCTCTAGAGTTGTGTTGAGAATATGCACAATACAGCACTTAACATAGTACCTCGGGTATTTATTTAGTCAGCAAGCAATAAATATCAGCTAGAATGTTACTGGGAAAGCTGAGGAAATCACAGAAAACCTTTCAAGAGACAAGCCAGAGAGCAGGGCTAGAGCCTTCTCACAGGGACCACAAGGGCTATAGGTTGGATCCAGAATGTCCTCCAAAGGCTCATATGTCAAAGCCTTAGTCCTACAGCCTTTTAGTGGTGGGACCTTATGGAAGGTCTTAGGTCACTGAGATGCCCTTGAAAGAGAAGGGGATTATGAAACAACTCTTCTCCCCTCCCCTCTCTTCCCCTTCTATTCCCTTCTGTTCCCTTCTCTTCTCTTCCCTCTGTATTTCCTGGCTGTTATGAAATGATCAATTTCTTCTGCCAGCCACTGCAGCCATGAGGTACTGCCCATTTACAGGCCCAAAGCAACAGACCTACCAACCATCATAGATTACACTCTCCAAAGCTGTAAGCCAAAAGAAAACTTTCCATCATTAGTTGATTATCTAGGGTATTTTGACAGTGCAATGGAAAGCTAGCTCTCTTGGACTGCTAATCTTTCTTTTCCCAGATATGGGTGATATCCAGCTGAGAGTCACATGACTACTTAGGGGGCTCTGGCTTCCTTTTCTAGTCATGGGAGGAGGAGACTTAGGAGGGTCTGCAGTACCAAGCATCACTTGCTAGGATGGCAGAGTAAGATGCAGCTGGCATATAAGAGGCAGGAAGAAACCTGGTAATGGGATTTCTGCCCTGGGACTGTAGGCTTCACCATGAAGGGATTGCCAGAGGGCCTGACTGTCTTAATGGGGAGGAGGCTGCTCTGCTTAAAGCAATCTGCCTTCAAAGGACAGCTAAGTGCACTCCTCAGAATGCTAAATTGGCCGACAGCTAGCAACTGTCAGCGCTGGTGCTTCTAAATTACCTCTCCTGGGAGGGCAGTGTTTGCTCTGGATCCCACCATCACCATTTCCCAACATCTGCCTCTCACCCATATTTGGATTAGAATTGGTGACACTCAAAAAGGTTTGGCATTTTGAATCAATTTGAGTAAGTGCCTGATGCTCAAATACAAAGCCTGCAAAATACAGCCAAAATGTAATGAGAATACTTCATCATGAGGTTAGTTTATCATTTGCTTCCATACACAGTAGAAGGAGCCCTTCTTTTTGATACCACCTCAGAAATACTGACTCATGAGAAGCACAGGATAACAAAGGGCTGCCAACTTCTCCCTGCCCACCAACTCAAAATGTGAAAATTGACCATGCCATATGCAGTCATGTGAGAGAATTGGCTCTTGCCAAAAGATAAAAGTTCCCTGATAGTAAGTGTACCCTATAGTAAGTGAACCCATCCTGGTTCAGTCTAATTAAAGACTCCCTCACACTTTCATCAAGTATTTGTTGAGGACCACATGCCAAGCCTGTGGAAGGTAATGGAAAAGCATAAATGTCATGACCTCTCAAGAAATTTCACTGTGATAAGCATGTGAATCTTCTTTAAGAACTGAATTTTTAAATAAATCCTTATTCAAATAAAAGCTGGGAAATAGTAAGAGCTGCACAATACAAATAATCCAGTCCCCCAGAAAAGCCTTGTAGCCCAGCCTATCAATTAATCATAGATAATGCTTCAGATTAATACATTAATATCTAGCACCAGGGGACAAGGCAAAAAGACTCAAGCAGCTATAGTTCTGTGCCAGGTGAGTCACTGGTGAAAAAGTAAGATAGTGAATAAAAGGCAAGGTTTATTTCTTTGGGCCATAGCTTAATTCTTCTGTCTTCCCATGAGCCACATGTTCCATGGCTCAATTATATTGTCCAAGAACCAAGTTAATCTAGGATGACCCATTAGAGGGGGAGAAAAATTCACTTGAGAAGCTAAGATTCATAGTGTATTATATTTGCCCTGGATTTTAACACATATGACTAGTGCTCACCAGGAGTGTGATGGTGACTCAGTAGTAGCTGAACATCTACTCTGTGCCAGGATGATGCTCACGCTGGGAATAAGACACAGACTGTCTTTGCCAGCCAGAGTGACTATGAAACAAGTAACTGTAGGTGTGATGACTAAGAGAGCTGATAAGTCACAGAGATGGTGGCAGTTCAGTAGGTAGGTAAATAATCAGATGGTGACCAGGAAAGGATGGTGGGGAGGGCACTGCAGTAAGGGGGTGGAACATATGGGTGGCCAGGTGCTGGATTGGCAGTCATATCCACTGCCCTTTCATGTCTTCTGTCTCTACTGGCTCTGCCCCCCGTAAAATGTAAATGTACTCAAGTCCTTCATCTCTTTAAACCAAATCTGAAAAAAGCAGAACCAAAGCACTCTCCCTGAAACTGCCTGCCATTTGTGATGGTCTCCTCCCCTTTGTGCTCTTAAAAGTGTAATCTGCACTTGATGTGTCCACATGCTCACTCCTCAACCTACTACACTCTGCCTTCTCTCATGACCTCTCTGAAATTGTGCGGTACTGTCAAGCGCAATGGATGCTTTCTCATTCTTATCTTTTTTTTTTTTTTTTTTTTGTCTGTTTCCTTTTTATCAGTACCGGGGATTGAACTCACAACTGTCTGCTTGCAAGGCAGGCACTTAGCCGCTGAGCTAAATCCACAGCCCCTCTCATTCTTATCTTAATAATCTCTTTGCACTCTTCAGTCTGTTTTCTCTCCTTTCCCCTTGATATCCTCTCTGTGCTTGATTTCTGTCACAGCATCAAAGTCAGCTTCTCCTCCTACTTCCTGACTGCTTCTTCAGCCCCCATTGTAGGTTCTGCTTCTTTGTTCCCCTAATAAATGGTATATATCTCAAAGTCCCTCCTTGAGGATCATTACCGGCCACAAATCAATGGCTCCTAATGTGCAATTCTGGTGCAGATCCCATTTGGGATTCTCAATGTTTATCTGACACATTCTTTCTCTCACTCAAAGGTATTCCGAGCTTATATCCAGGTCAAATTACTCAAACTTGAAGTGATCTCTCCCTCTAAACTTTTTTCTGGCATTATTTTGCTTCTATCTATGCCAAATGCACATTCTTGATTTTCCCTTTTCTGTGCCTTCATCACCCACATACATCTAACCAGTCTCTAAACCCTGAAAATTATACCTACTACTTGATTCTTGTTCTTCTCAGTCTCCCTGACACTGCCTTCGCTCAAGCGTTTTTCTTGTCTCATCTTTGTTCATCGATTTTGAATTGTTCTCTCTGCTCTGTCTGCCTTTCCACTATTCATTTTTGAATACTACTCCCTAGGAGCTCTCTACAATGTAAATCCAATGATGGCACTGCTTTCTTTGGACTTGTTCAGGAACACCCCTTAGCTAACATGTTAAAGTGCAATTCCTTAGCTTGGTACATTGGACACATTTGAGGGCTGGATCCCCCCACCATCCCAGTCTCATCTCTTGCCAGTCCCAATATTGAACTTCTCTAACTATAACATGAAGTTTCATGCCTGTTTATCATATTGCCTACCTCTTCCTTTCGCTAAACCATATTTCCCCTTTTTCAAAGGTTTTGTACCCTTGGGCCCCTTCCGGGATCTCCTCCCCATTTGGGTCTTCCCCCTAGCTCAGGTGTTAACTTAGCATCTTGGAACACTTATTTGAGGACACCAACATGTTGGATTTGATTCCCCTACGAGACTACAAACTGTGGGAACATGTTTTGTCATATACATTTTTTCTTTTTTCTTTTGTAATACATATTTTTATGTTCTTGGAACCTCATATATTTATCAAAATATTACATATGGCATGTAAATGCCTGTGTGTAGCATGTTTGGAGGTATAAAGGCAAGAGGGGTTCACATATTTTTAGTACTTATAACATCACAGGAACTGCCCTAGATATATTTAAAGCATTTGTATTATGATCTTCATTTTCTGAGAAAGCTGAGGCTTTGAGAACCCAAGTAACTAGGATGCAATTTCATGTCTCGTGGATGGTAAAGCTGTGATGGGCCGAGGCTTATCTGACTCCAACCTCTGGGGACCTTTCATCACCCAGACTCCACGACCAGGAAGGAACCAAGAGTGGTGGAACCCAGATGCTATATTACAAGAATTTTCTTGAATATCCTTGATATGAGTCTTGCTTAGAATCCTCAGTGGGTCGTGGCAAAGGCTTTTGAGCTTTTTTTGGTTGTGAAGAGTACAGAAACCACTCTGTTTTTTAATGTTTCCTTTCCAAAGTTCATCTTTTTAAAACCTTATTCCTGTGTGCAAGGATTCCACAGAGATTAACTGTAAAATGAAGGACCTCAATTGTCTCAACTGCCTCAGAGGAGATGTGTTTTCTAGTCACATAATATATACTTCTCACAGTTATTGTCTATTTATTCTACTGCAAAAACTGCTACAGACCCTATGAATTCCAGGGGGAAAACATGTATGGAATGTGCTCAGCGGTGTGGAACTTCCTATAACTGTTGGAATGAAAAGCTGATAAGAAAAAAAATTCCGCCTGGATACTTAGGAGAAAAAAAAAATCTGCTGAAGAATGACATGGACCTGACATAGGGTGTCATGGCACATGCCTATGAAGGATTGCAAGTTCATGCCCAGTCTAGACAACTTAGCAGGATTCTATCTCAAAATAAAAAAATAAAAGGGACTGGGGATAGCTCAATTGTAGAGTGACAATGAGTTCAGTTGTCAGTACCAGAAAAAAAAAGACAGATGAGGATGATGGCGCTCCAGGGAACCATCACATAACTTTGGCCTCCACTCCAGCAGCCCGTGCGTGGCTTAGATGCAGCCATCCCTGCTCCTGAGGAGCTGTCGTACATTCTCAGTAACACTCCTGCCCTCCTAAGAAATGCCATGAGGGCCACCTAGTGTCTTGGGAATGTCACCTTCATTTACCTTTTTTAGTGTAAGGCACCAAGACCATAACTCCATTCCAAAGGCCCTTTCCTGTGTCAAGTTTAGCTGTATCATTCACCTCTCATCCTTTCCTTGAACCTCAGTGGAACAAGATAGTTAAAAAAAATCAACTGGCAGGTGCTGTAGCCAGTTATTGGTCACCAAAGAAGATTTATTGGTCTATGGAGAAGGCTTTGCTTCTATTACTAATACATGCCTAATAAATGCCTGTGACATGCCTGACTGAGCAGAGCCATTGCTTGGCCCAAGGGACTCTGAGTAGCTGCCTTCCTTGTTGGAGTCTGTAAATATGTTCTGTAGGGCACCCTTTCTCCCTCATGTCTTTCAAGGCACAGTGAAAAGAGACACACCAAATAGTTTGCAGAGTAAGTGTCCCTCAAAGATCCACATGGTCAAGCTCATTCTTTATTTAGAGGCCATGGAGATTTTAGGAGATGTGGCCTAGTAGAAGGTCTTTAGGGACTGGGGACATGTCCTTAAAGGGGATAGTGGGACTCTAGTCTCCAATTCTTTCTCTCCTTTGCTTCTTAGTCATGAAGTGAGTGGTTTTGCCCTGCTAACTGCTCCCACTATGATGTGCAGTTATGGGCTTAAAAGAACAGGACCAATTGATCATGAACTTCAATCTCTGCCATTGTGAGCCAAATAAACCTTTCATCGTTATAAGCTGATTATGCCAGGTATTTGTTGTAATAAGGAAAGGCTTAACATCACCATCACTAACAAAGTTCTGGCAGGTTTTTTGAGTACAGAGACAGACAAGGAGGGTAGTGCTTACTTATTGATTGCTCTGGTTTTATCCCCCCCCACACACACACACACTGTCTTTTTGAGACAGGATTTCACTGTGCATTTCAGGCTGGCCTTGAACTCACTTTGTAGCCCAGGCTGGCCTCAAATTCACAGCAATCTTCCTGCCTCAGCCTCCCAAGTGCTAGGATTACAGGCATGTACTACCACACCCGGCTTGTTTTTCTTTTCTGACTAGGGAAGTATTTTCCAACCTGATGTAACCAATTCTAGTTCAGCCAAATGAAAGTGGAACCTCATCATTTCACTTTCGTTCTCATTTCCATTGCTAACAGCTTTCTGAAAAAGATCTACCAAGAGGTTAGAATGCCTGGTCCACACATTACTTGGCTATTTAAAAGGACATGATGTTGATAGCCCTTCTTTCTGAGAGAAGAAAGAATATATCAGACAGAGGCTCTATTATTTAAATATCTATTGCCTAAGCCTCAAGCAGGCCTTGTTCAAATGAATTGCTACTGAGAGGGATGGTAAAGCCATCTTCCTCTCCTCCTCCTCCTCCTTTTCCCTCTTCTTCTCCTCCTCCTTCTTCTGCTTCTCTTTCTCTTCCTCCTTTTCTTTCTCTTTCTTCTTCTCTTCTTCTTCTTCTTCTTCTTCTTCTTCTTCTTCTTCTTCTTCTTCTTCTTCTTCTTCTTCCTCCTTCCTCTTCTTCTTCCTCTTCCTCTTCCTCTTCCTCTTCTCCTCCTCCTCTTCCTCTTCCTCCTCCTCCTCCTCGGTCTTTTTTGAGGCAAGATTTTGCGATACAGCTCGGGCTGGTCTTGAACTTACTTTGTAGCCTAGGCTAACCTTGAACTCACAGTGATCCTCCTGGCTCAGCCTCCTGATCTCAGGGATTATAGGCAAGCACCACCAATGCCCAGCTCAAAATCATTTTCTTTAGAAAATTTGGAAATCATCTTCACCTTTAAGAAAAGCAAATCATAGCTGGAAGGAAAGCATACAAAGAGAAATAAATGCTCTCATGAGCATGAGCTTGTGACCTTAGTTACCTGAAGACAGCACTCTGAGCACCACTGACTGTGACTCATCTGATGCTTGGTTGACCCACTTGCCTGGGTGGCCATGCAGCTGCCACTCGGCCACACTGCACCAGTACATCCCTGCATCCTCCTCCTCCACCTCATGCAGCTCCAGGACAAAGTCTGTAGGAGATGAACGGTAGCAGTGCAGGTGTCTCCTGAGCCCTTCATCTCCGTACTCCAGCAAGCCGTCGTGCTGCAGGTGTGCCAGCATGTGACGCCTGGTGTGTCCTCTGCTCCAGAACCATGTCACAGAGTACAGGGAGGTCAAGCTCCTCGAGCCCTCAAAGCTGCAGTGGATGTCCACATTTCCATGCTCAGTGGCATTTTCTGTCAGGTACATTTTGGAGATATGTACCTTGCTTCCTAGAAGACAAAACAGCAGTAAGTTGGACATTCAGACTCGATTCCCTGTCTGAAAACTTGTTTCCACTGGGGAGATCCCACCTGGTGCTCTTTAGACCTCACATCTTTCATCTTTAACAGTTTCTTTGACCCCTGTCCTTTCGTTTCACATTTTCCTGAATGTTCTTTGTTATAAATCAAACCAGTCACTTTTCTTGCTCCTTTTGCCCAATGGACCTGCCACTGCAAACCGTCCAGCTTCAGCTGGGTCCTCTGACTGTGCCTTGGCCTCCCCTTGGCCAGCTTTCTCTTCATTTTCCTGGAGGATTTATGCAAGGCTTCCAGCACCCCTTTAAGTTGTGCACTGCACCACTAACCCCTGTTCTTTGCAAATTATCTTCCTCCAGCACACTGAGATAGTATGTGGAATACAGATGCAGAGGGAGAAGAGGTTATTGGAGAGACTGAACATTTTGATACAAGTGTTAAAATATCACCCACAGGAACTATTTAAATTATTAGACCAGAATATGTTTTAAACAGATTTTGACATACAAACAGATTTTGACACACACACATACTAAGTAGCAGGTGAACACTTGGAATGAAATCCAGAGTAATCGAACAAATAAAGAAATTATAAGGTACATTAAATTTTCAACTCCATTACAAATGTATTTATCTTTTAAAAACAACTTTGATATTGGGCATTTTTTTAGTTTAGTCTTTCCTTTATTTCTTGGAGAAACATGTAAAATATTTTTGAGGCAAGAATATATGAAACTGTTTTCCCACCTCGAGTTACTTCCTATTTTATTGCAGCCTGGCTTCCAATTCTATCACTACACTCGGCCAGGTCCAGTTTTCTAGCCCAAGGAACCTTCCAGTCTTTTTTTTTCTTTTTTGTCCTCATGGTGGTTTTTGTTACTATAGTCTATTTTCTTCTTGAAATTCTTCCTTTAACTTCAGAGAGAATTCTCCCCACCCACAGTTCTGACCAGTACATCTGGATATCTTTTCCTCGGACCTCTTCATTAGTTCATTCCCTTATTTACAGCGTACAAGTGGCAACCCACGGTCACACCTCCCTCAGAGTTTTCGTTTGATGCCCTCTGTCTTTTAAGAGAATTTGCTTACTTACAAATCGTTTCAGATTGAAAGATGTGATTTTTAAAAAAAAGACTGCCAGAATTTCCTGCTATAATAAAAGATCTGACCACACTGAGCCTCTGTTTCCCATGAGGAGTGCTGGCTTGAGCCAAGAAGTCACTGCCTAGTAAAAACAAACGAGCACATGATGTCCAGGTTTTGGCTAAGACGCTGGTGAGATAGGAATGGCAGCCACACAGAAGCAGAGGCCAGAAATACTCTAAATGGCTCTGTGGGTTGGCAGGGATCATAAATGCAACTGGGGCAGGCTCAGGATGAGGGTATCTGGGCATCCACATATGAATATGCAGCTGGCCATCAGGTAGAAGGGCTTGGAGCTCAAGAGGTGAGGCTACACATAAAGACCCAGAGCTGCCATCTCAAAGGTAGTACTTGAAACTGGAGAAATGTTCAAGATCGTTTTCAGGAAAGCACAGAATAAGAAGAAGGGCCAAGAATGTATCCCTGAGGAACACTCATGTTTAGCAAAGACAGCAAGCGGTCCCCAAGAAGGAAAAGGGGAGCCCGAACGGCAGGAGGAGATCCTCGTACTAAGCTATTGTTCTTACCCTGCTGCTTCCACAGGCTGTGAGCATCTTACAGGCAAGGGCTCTGCCTTATTTATCTTTACATTCCTATTGCCTCATGTACAGTAGTGTTTGTAAACTTATTTTTTGACATTACCTTGAAAATAGTAATGCCAAAATAGATCAACTTATTTGCACCGTGCTATTGGATCTCATCCAGTCCCCAAGCCTGGGCTGTGACATTCATTTAACTTTAATCAACAGTAGAGGTGACCTAACCAGTGCTGAGAGTGCTAACCAAGCCATCTACATGTACGCAGCAGCACGCTTAGAGCAATGTGGATGGATGGAACTTCCATTACATTTTTAAAGATCTCCTGAGGAAGAGGAGATTCCCTCAGTAAGCCATTCCAGCAGTTAACTACTCTTATTTGCCTTATGTTTAGGCAGCCAATGTTGAAAAGCAATTTCTCCACACATCCCCATAGAGTTGTACAGTTTCTGTTCACAGTGGGAGAAATATGCTTCGTTTTACTTGTTGCATGCCAAATTATAGTAGAGTCCCACTGGAGTGACACAGCTTGTTATTATAGAGATCTGGAGATACAATACCCTGGGTAGTTGCATGGGCCAGGTGGCCAGGCTGATAAACAAATCTATGCAAAGGATCTTGTTTCTATTTGAGTTCCTCTAAACTCCAGATTAATGGGGTGACCTCCACCCACTGGTGGGTCCTACGGTCATTTATAGGTGGACAGTATTCTTGTAACTCCAAACTGTCTTTTTACTTCCACATAAACACTCTACAGAAGCTGTCCAAGAGAAGGTGGGTATTTTACAGAAAGACGTGTGCTAATACACTTGCAAATTTTACCTGAGGGCTTGAGTCTCAATTCTGTCAGTCCTGACTTCGCTCCTCCAAGCTTCTGCCAAGTGCCATTTGTAAACAGCAGCCATTCTTCCACAGCACAGTAGTACACACCCTGATCGCTGTCTTCCACACTCATTATGTGCAGCTGGAACAAGTTTGGGGACATTTTCTCAGAGTGAAATTTTTGTTTTCTCCGTGGGGTGTGAAATTCATCCCCATATTTTACAACATTGGTCTGGTCCAATTCCAAGATCTTCAGCCAAGTTGTACTAGTGGAAATGGGAGAAAAATACCAAGCAATGGCTAACTTGAGGTTTTTAGTACGCCGGGACAAGATGCTACATTCTATGACTGTGTTGGAGTTGATGGAGATCTCTTGGTATTGACGGCTCGCATTCACTCTTAGCTCGCTCGCTGCATGAAAAGAATGAAAACAGTTACTTTGATAACAAATCCAGTTGTGAGGCAGAAGGGATGTTAGGGATCACCTAGGACAACACTTCCTTCAGCCATCACACATGTGAAAGAGCAGCCTTGGCTGGGGATTTAGCTCAGTGGCGTAAGCACCTGCCTTGCAAGCAGGCGGTCGTGAGTTCGATCCCCGGTACTGATAAAACTGAAAAAGACAAAAAAAAAAAAAAAAAAAAAAAAGAGCAGCCTCGCTGAACGCGTGGCTGTTGAGCCACTCCCGGGCTGATGAAGCAGATCGTTCGTCCTTGGGACAGCTCTGTCCCTAGTGAATTCTGTCTGATGTCCCATTAAGTTTTCTCCCTTCATAACTTCCACCTGCTGTCCCTAGTTATCATTTGCTGGGTGGAGAGGGGAAGTGTCACATAGTAAAGCCCAATCTCTTTTTCACACAATAATGCTTCAGTATTTAAACACAAACTCTATAGCATTTCATGTATCAAACTGAGAAAAAGTGGCACAGATTATCACTTATAAATTCATTATGGTAAACATAGTACACTTCTGGACTCATCATTTGCCAAAGCCTACTTATAGCTGCTTTCAAACATAAAGTAAACAAAAAGAATACACGCGTTATTAAAATGGTAAGTCTCTTTTTAGCTACTCCACTGAGGGAACATCATATGTACATGGAGTAGAAATCTTTTAACTCTGACTTTTCTGCCTTGTCAGAAAGCTATGCAATAAGCCTTGCTTCCAAATCTTATTCTAATTTCTTGCTGATATCACCAAGTCTACTTAATAAGTGCTTATTTATGTTAGCAATAGGCTTCTATTTTCTTCCAACAAACATTTATTAATATCATGCCATATCACATGCCAGACTATTCAAGGCTCTGTGGATACTTGCCTTCAGTGAGTGAGAGGAGAGAGAGAAAGAGAGAGAGAGAGAGAGACAGAGACAGAGACAGAGACAGAGACAGAGACAGAGACAGAGAAACTGTTAGAGCATGCAGGAAGAATACCCATCTAAGTACAGGAGTGAGGGGAGTTTTCTCAAGAGAAGGAACACTAAACCGAGTCTTAAGGGTTCACAGGAATTATTCTGATGAAGAAGAGCATAAAGAATTTCACATAAAAGAAGAAATCTAGACAGGTGTAGTAGTGCACATCTGTCATTCCAGCTCTCTAGGAGGCTGAGGCAAGAGGAGCCCAACTTAAGCAACACAGTGGCTGGGATGTAGCTTAGTACAAAGGCTCTGAGTTCAACCCCCAGTACCAGAAGAAAGGCAACTTGAACAAGACACTGAGAAAACCTAAATTATTGAGGAACTACAAGTAATTCTGTGTGAGTGAAGTTTGAATGGAAGATAAAACGCAAAAGGAAATGGCATGAAAGACATAAATATACTAGGTTTTTGTATTATTAAGTCTACTGGTACAATTTAGACATATTTAATGGTCACACTCATCATAGGTAATTTATATCTCTATATTTTATTTTGATTTTCCACTTTCTCCACTCCCTGCCACTCGCTTCAACTTCTCATTTACAAAGCTTTGTTTTCATTTTATCTTTCTTTTCACATTTTTTTCTTTTATCTTTCTTCCTTTCCCCTTTACCCCTCCCTAGTTACCCTTTCCTTTTAAACAATTTCTTTTCTATTTTGCAACATCTATTATACACTTGGGTCCTTATTTATACTTTTGGTTTTGCACACCAGAGAGACAATGTGCTATTTATATGTTTGTATGATTTATTTCACTTAAGAGTATGAGTTCAACATGCATCCATTTAGCAATAAATATCTCATTTATTCTTCTTTATGGCTGAGTAGTATTCCATTGTATAAATAAAGCACATCTTTTTATACATTCATTGGTTGATGGCATTTGGGTTGTTTTCAAGATTTAGTTATTACAAAGTATGCTGGGATATATATCACCTGACATGAAGATTTTAATTCTTTTGAAAAGATACCTAGACAGGAATAGCTAAGTTAAACAGAGAATCTACTCCTAGCTTTTTTTTTTTTAGCAATCTGCACAGTAGTTGCATCAATCAACTACTATCAATTGTGGATAAGGACAGCTTTTTCCCCCACAGGCTCCCCTTTCCCACATTTTGTTACCGGTTGACTTCTTGAAAATAGCCATTCTTTCTGGAACGACATGGAATCTAGCAGTGTTTTAATTGGCATCTGTCATATGACTAGTTATGTTGAACATGTTTTCATGTATTTATTTGCCATTTGTACTTCTTTATCAGGGAAATGTATATTTATTCATCTGACACCAATTTTTGGATTGAGTCTTTAAATGTGGGAGGTCTGATTTTGTTAAATTCTTTATATGTTCTAGATATAAATCCTTTGTCTGAGGAACAACTGGTTAGAATTTTTTCCCACTCTGGGAGTGGTCTTCTGTTGGTTTCTGCTGTTGTACGAAAGCTTTTTAATAAGATGAGATCCCACTTGTTCATTTTTTGTAGTATTTCCAATACAATCAAGGTTTTGTTCATAAAGTCTGTCTACAATCATGTCTTCAAGAGTTCTACCTATTCCCTCTTCCAGCAGATTTTGTATTTCTGTTTTAATATTTAGATCTTTGATCGATTTTAATTTTAGTTTAGTGCATGGTGAGGAATATGGGTTGATTTTTAATCTTAAGCATGTGGAAAGTCAATTTTTCCACCACCACTTATTAAAGGGACTCTCTTTCAGTGAATGTGTTTGGTCCCTTTGTCAAAGATGACGGAGTGTGTTTGGAATTGCTCCTACATCTTTTAATCTGTTACACTGATCCTCAAGTCTGTTTTGTTTTGTTTTGCTTTTTGCCAGGACCATGCTGATTTTATCACAGTAGCTTCATAGTATAATTTTAATTCAGGGGTTGTGATGCCTCCTGCCTTGCCTTTGTAGCCCAGAACTGTTTTTGCTATTTTAGGTCTCTTCTGGTTCCAAATGGATTTTAGAATGTTTTCTCCAGCTCATATGTGAAGTATATTAATGGTATTTCATTGTGATTACATTAAATCTGTATTACAACTTTGGGAGTATGCCCATTTTCACTATATTGGGTCTTCCTAACCAAGAGCAAGGGATATCCTTCCATTTTCTGACATCTTCCTCAGTTTTCTTTTGCAGAGTACTACAGTTTTTAGTTTAGAAATCTTTTACTTCATTCATTAGTGATTGCCAAGGGTTTCATTTTCTTGGATGCTCTTGTGAAAGGGGTTGTTTCGCTAATTTCTCTCTCAGTGAGTTTGTTGTTTGTGTACAGGATTGGTATTGATTTTTGAGGGCTGACTTTGTATTCAGCTATGTGACTGAATTTGGTTATTAAATCTAAAAGTCTTTTGGTAGAGTGTTCAGGATCTTCTATGTACAGTATCATGTCATCTGCAAATAATGCGATTTTTTGCATTATTAATGCAACTTCATTTCCTTTTTAAATTTTGTTATTTTAAAGAGAATAAAACCAAACAAAATGAAATAGAATTAAAGCCTATCAAAACAAAAAAATGAAAACAATACAGGACTTCAAAACAAGGTAATAGGGAATCAACAATAGCTACCATAATGCCTCTTATTATCTTCAAAATAGCTGCCCATACTATCAGACATAATAAAATCTAACAAAACAGAACAGAATAAAGTTAATCAAAACAAAACAATGAAAGTGATACAGGAATTCAAAACAAGGTAATAGGAGATCAACAATGGCTACCATATTATATCTTGCTATCTTCAAAATAGCTGTCTATATTATCAGACATAATAAAATCAAACAAAACAAAACAGAAACAAAATAAAAACAATGAAAATGATACAGGACATCAAAACTAGATGACAGGAAATTAACATTGGTTACCAATTTCCCTTTTAGACATTTCTTCTCCTTTCATTTTTACAATGTCTGTGGTACATTTTGAATCCCACTAACTCCTTCAGTTTTTCATACTAGGGAGACAATGTGATGTTCACCATGTGAGTCCAAACCATTTCACCCATGAGAATGATCTCAAATTTCATCCATTTACCTATAAAAGCCTTGAGATTGTCCTTCCTTATAGCCGAGTAGCTTTCCATTGTATAAAAATAACATACCTTTCTTATCTATTCTGTGGTTGATGGGCAGGTACCTCTGCTTTTTTCTGGGTCTTCATCACACGGAACATTGGCTTCTTTTCTTTGACCTTCAGTCCATGAATTTCTTTTTGAGTCAACTGTATTTCTTGGAGACAGCATGCTGGTGGATCCTAATCTACTCTGTACACGTTTCTTTTTCCTGGTAAATTGAGGCCATCTACATTAATGGTTATGACCAACATGTCCTGGTCACCTCTGCCATTTTATCCTCCTGCAATTGGCCCCTTACTTTCCCTGCCATTAAACTGCCTGCCCTGTTTGGCTATTCCTCTCTGCTGCTGTTCGTGGAAACATGGTCATCTTTATCTCTCTTGAGAATATCCTTCAGCACTCTTTGTAGGGTTGGTTTGATGGTAATGAATTCCTTCAGTTGTTCTTTTATCATGGAAGTATCTTATTTCTCCATTAATTTTGAAAGATAATTTTTTAGGGTACATCAATCTGGGTTGGAAGTTGTTTTATTTTAGGACTTCAAACACTTCCCTCCAAGCTCTTCTTGAATTAAGAGTTTGTGTTGAGAAGTGTGCCATGATTTCGATGGGTTTTCCTTTATAGGTGATCTGTTTCTTTCCTCTAACAGTCTCTAATATTCTGTTCTTGTGTTGAATTTCTTGTATCATGATTATCATTTGTCTGGGGGTAGACTGAGTTTGGTAATGGCTAGTTAAGGGCTATTTGCCTCATGTATCTGCATGTTAGTCCTTTTTCCATGCTTGGAAGGTTTTTTGCTATTACTTCTGTAACTAGTCTTTTTATGTCATTTATATTGACCTGCTTTTTTGTTGATTCCTGTAAATTATTTTTCTTTTCTTCGTCTTGTAGCTGTTGAATAGTTATTTCCTGGTTCCTTGT